TATATATATATATATATATATATATATATATATATATATATTCAAAATTTAATTGGATTTTTATGAATAAACTACTACACAATGTGATATGAAATAGGTATATGGACTGTATCATATATAGGTGTAGCCATATATCAAAACAATGTATAGTGCAATCTCGTAACATAATTAAATTAATCGATGCACGTCTATCATGTTTAATAAATAAATAATTATTAGTACATTGACGAGTGCGGGTAGAAGAATATATGTTCATAACTTACTGTCTACATCGTGAAGAATATACTCGTCTGAACAACATTCTTGATACACACATTTGTAATTTTCATATACATAATAACCTAAACCACTTAAAGCACCGACTACGCCAAACGTTATAAACTCACATCGTATAAATATAACGAAAGTTAAGATAAACAGAAGTATGAAAATGTAACCTGCACACTTCATTTTTAACGAACACCGGCCATTTACGGCTGCGTTCTAAAATTCACTACTAGACTGCCAGTCTAATAGTGAATTTTGGCTGCCTTCTGAAATTCACTGCCAGTACTGAAAATCTATAGTTCATGTTACGTATACTATAGAATTTCAGCACTGGCAGTGAATTTCGGAACGCAGCCTTTAAAACGCAGCCATAAATGACTAGTGTTCGTTAAAAATGAAGAGTACTTTCCAGTTGCGTACACTGTGTTACACAAAACCAGTTTATTGGTTGCATATTATTTTACAAAATATTTTAGATAACATGTGACCAATAAACTGATTTTGTGTACGTGTGTGTCAAGGCTGCGTTCAGATTCCTTACCCGGGTACACTCTAATACAAGAAGTGCTATAGTATATGTGACATATACTATAGTGTTTCTAGTAACAGAGTGCACCTAGGTAGGGAATCTGAACGCACCCCAAGATGTGTTAAGCAATTGGAAAGCACCCGAAGTGTGCAGGTTATGGCTGCTGCACACAGGACGCGGTAATGCTTGCCGCGCGGCGGAAGTTCGCGCGACAACCAATCAATATGTTGCTTTTCCGTAAGAGCTAGAAGATTATTACGGAAAGCAACATCATTGACTAAGTTTACACGGCAGCTTAAAAGATTTAGTAACAACAGTATTTAATAAATTCTCGAATCCGATTGATATATTCTTTTAGATCTAGAAATATACTTCAATCAGATTCAAGAGTTTACTAACTACGGTAGTTATTAAATCGGTTTTAAGCTGCCATGTAAACTTATAGCGTGTTCGACTGGCCCTGGGTTAATCGCTCCGAGAGCAATTAATGACGTCATAAGTCTCTACTAGCCAATCATAAAACTTATAAGTACTTGTTCGACCAATAAACGTAAGCTGAATAACCTAGAGTGGGTTAAACCAGAGCCAGTCGAACATGCTATTAATCTATGACTAAGTTTACACGGCAGCTTAAAACCAGTTTAGTAACAATCGTATTTAGTAAACTCTCGCATCCGATTTCCCTTACAGAAATGTAATACTGATAAGTAATAATTTTTCGTCAGTACTTAATTTCTGGCGAATACTGATAATAAAATCACTATTAAATATTGATAGTAATCAAATACTATTAAATATTGATAGTAATCAAATACTATTAAATATTGATAGTAATCAAATGCTGAGAATTATGGTGCGAATATGAAAAATAAGAAAATCATAATATTTAAAAAAAATATATTTATAATTTCTAATTTTTTTATGCCTCATAAACTAGGGTGCGTTCGAAAACACTGAAAGTCCACGACGGAAAGTGGCTGTGGTGGATGGGCTTGGTGGGGTTAGTGGAGTTGGTATCGAGAGGAGTTTTCGAACAGTCATGGAAGAATGCTCAATGTGACATACTACATGTGTGTTGTGCCTACATATGTGTTGTACAAAATGGCTGATCGAAAGCGTATTTCGACATTAGCTATAATTGCTTCTCAGCAAAATAATAATAAATTAATAAATTTAGTAATTAATTAAT